TACAATGGAGACTATAGGTAGATTCGCCTGCCCAACTGCGCATGGACGAATCCCAATTTCTGCCCTGCCACCGACGGACCGAGGATACCAAGCCCTTTCAAGCATACTGACGTCAACATGACTGCATGCGTGGCTGACGATGGCTCTGTCCTGGACACTCGGTGCAGTATGGGTCTTGGAAAGGGGGTACAGCTTGAGCTCTCTAAACCCCAGAACGTCTACTGAATCCGAAACCCCTGCAAGCAGTGAACCTCTGACGCTTTGAAACCTGAAAAATCTCCACCCAAAGGCGGGGAAGGCTCAAAGCTCACCGATGGAGATCCCTGGAGACGAATTCGTTGCCTGAAGTGTTGCTGACGAGCCAATTTTCCTTGCGATCGTCGAAAGGTATCGTGCTGGGGCCTTGGAAGTCCGAGAGAGGCCGTCTGTTGTTCATCCTTCCAAAGCGTACAAGCCGCGGCCTCTCTCCATGAGGTGGCGGAGTTTCTTAGACCCAGTCCAGGGCGAGCTCCTGTAGCTGAGTCGCTCCGCAGCCGCCCAAACTTGTAAAAGCTCGAGCAAGCAAGACCTGAATGTGAGTTCAGAGAATAAGGGACCTTAATATACACACACTCACATAGTGAGATTCTGAAGGCAAGGAACACCCGATAGGGACCCGCAGAACTCTCTAAGACTGTAAGAGCCTTCCGAAGCGCATCGCCAATGTTCCGGCATTTAGCTGTATGCGCTACGAGTAAATCATTCTGGTTTGAAGGCACCCCCTCGTCAAAAGCCTCATGCACAAGAACACAAAGCATAAAAGCTTGAGTTACCTAACAGAGATGCTGACGAAAGCATCCAACTCCGCTGGGCAAAAATAGCCGTAGTCGTGATCCCATACAGGGCAGCTGCACTCGCAATAGTGATGATATCAGACTTATAACATTGCAAACGAAAGTAAAAGCCTTGTATCCAGTGCCCCCACACTGTGTCCCCTAAACCCCTTAACCCTAAAACCTAAATGTCCATGGAATCTATGGAACCCTCCTCTTCACCACGCCCCGGTTAATCCCAACCTAACCCAGCCACTATATACACGAAGCCACAGCCTCAGCTTCAATTCAATGCCCTTGGCCCCTACCTATAGTCCCCATTGTAGTTCCTTTTTTTGGTTTAACCAATTGTATATTAAGGTTTTTTTAAGGTATCCCCCAAAAGGAACTACAATGGAGACTACAGGTAACCCTAAGCCCTAAAACCCCGAAGCCACCAAAAGCCGAGTTTGTGTGCAGGCCTTCCCTGGCTTGTCCGACTGGAAGTGTAGAAACCATAGAAAAACCCTAACAGCAAACCTTAAAAACCTAAACTCTACTGCCTGCAATGCGGGCTTCGTCCTAGCTAAACCCTAAACCCTAAACCCCTAGGTGGTTAGTCCGACTAACCACCCTGCAATGCGGGCACGTCCTTGCTAAGTAGGAGGCAAAAAAACCCCTAGGTGGGAGGCAAAAGAAAACCAAAACCCTAAACCCTAAACCCTAAACCTCCTAGGAGATGGTCCAGATGGTTGGGGGCACCGGCAAGTTCTCTGGAGAGACTTGGCTCAAGTGTAGGGCAACTTCGGGTCTAAGGCCTTTAGGGCGGTTCAGGGTCTATTGACTTGAAAAAGGCAGTTCAGAGTTTAGGTCTTCAGGGTAGTTGAGGTTTTGGCGCAGTTTGGAGCTCGGGGCCTAGTTTTCGAGCAGCTTGCGGCTGCAAAGTCTTGTCGTGCTTAACGTCTAAAAGCTGGGGCTGGCTTGCAAAACACGCGACGAAACCTTCCGAACTGATGACGAGCTTGGGCAGACCATATACCTGAGGCATCCAGGTACCGCTTCAGCAACATCACTTTTGGCCACTTGGTGAGCTTTAGGCCATGTGACGTTTGAGTCAGCTGTCTGCAAGATCTGTGGTTGAAGAGAGGGCAGGGGAGCCCTTGTGGCACTTGTAAAGCCAGCTAATTCTGACGGCGTTGAACGCTAAGAGAAGAAGACAGTGGGAAGTTGATGCTGATTGCTTTAGTCATTAGTGTTGAGCTATAGTAGTGCTCGACATGTCGATACAGCGAAGCTTGCAAGACGTGATGATGACGGCCCGAGGTGCACCGCAAACTAAAGCACCACCGGGACAAGCTTACTATAGGAGTCTGAGGAAGCGCTAAGAATTAATATAGGGGCCTTTAATTATTACCTATACTACTTAGGGGTTCCTTGTTATAATTATGGTTTACTATGCCCAAAACTTTATCGTAATTATTAAGGCCCCTACATGATTCGCCACCGAAGTACTTAATTCGTCGATCTCGAGCATTGAATAGCTTTGCTCGCTGTTGCTCGCATCATTGTTCTCGAAAGCCCCGTGCGGCTGAGAATGACTTGGCTTATTAAGGCCCTTACAAGAGGTACTAGAAGTACTAAGAATGAATATCCCCGGTAGTCTCTGATGTCACTACAGTATATGTTACCCCCCAAACCCAGGCCTACGTCATTGAGGCCCCCTTTAAAGACCCGATAAAAACCCTAGCCTAGCAAAAACCCTTGTAAACCCTACTGTAATGCTTCACATTAAAGTTGTTCTTTGCCCTCCACGCAGGTCCCCCTGACGAGGAGGCCTTCAGGCCTAGCTACGCTTGCGCCCAGAGCCGCGGTGGGGTTTCAGACTAGGGGAATTTGCCTGAAAAAATTCGGCCCTGCAATAATTGGTTTAGGGTTTAGGGCCTTTAGGGTTTAGGGTTTTATCGCTGTTGGAGAATCCGTTCCGGGAGTTTTGACGAAGCATGTGCGATTTGTAGCCTGGCTGTCCTTCTGATAGTTGCACTGCAAATTGTCACCTCGGACTTGGAGCTTCACCTAGAATTCCTTCTAGACATGTGCTGGGTCAAACTGCCAGATTTTCCTTATGAGTTTAGGGTTTAGGGTTTAGGTTCAAATCGACCTCTGAATAGAAGCACTGGGCTTTTGGGTGATATGCTCGTGTCTGTCTAGCATGGATTCAGCCTTGATAGACATGCAAGACGCAAACAGCGTGCTCACCGTTCTGCACGTAGCAGGTCTGGCCCTGCCAAGAATTCGAAAAGGGGCCTTGAGATACTGTCAGGTCCAGGTCTTGCTCCGACTGCAGCTTCAAATCAAGAGTCAGACATGACATATGTCATATGTATATCGACATATACAGATATGTATATATATAATATACAATAACAACAATACTAATAAGAATATATAACAATAACAACATAGTAGAAAATAACATATCATAATATAATAGTATATACACATACTATACATTTTCGTATAAATGATACTTTTGTTTCCTTGCGCAGAATGCCTGGGCACCAGGTTCGGCAATACGTTTGCCCGTATGTGCCTGCAGGCATGTAATAGTAAGAGAGAGAGAGAGAGAGATATATATAGAGAGAGAGAGAGAGCGAGGGCGCCCAGAAAAACATAATATTGCGAAAAGGCCTCTGGTTAGCCGACGAAATATAGCAATGTAAGTCTCGCACGGTCGTCGTCTCTCAAATATATGCATGGTGACATAGTGCCTCTGCGGTAGGGAGAGAGAGAGAGAGAGAGAGAGAGAGAGAGGAAAGAGAGAGCGCGCGGGTGAAGGGGGCTTGCCCTCCTTCTCCCCTAGCCCTGGCGAAAGAAAAGAGAGAGAGGTCTGAGGGTTTGGTCCACCATCTCTTGAGTTCAGGGTGTGTTTTTTCAGATCGCGGGTGTTCTTTGCAGGGACTTTGGAGAATTCCGGGATGAGCTGAGGAACTGGCCTGCCAAGCCTTGCGAAGATGAGGAGGCGCATTCTGCTATCTTTTCAGCTCCAGTGATTCAGGTGTGGGGCTTAAGTTTGGGATTTGAGGTTTAGGGTTTGGGCTTTGGGGCTTTAAGTAGAGCTTGGGGTTTGGAGCCCTGATTTCGAGCATTAGTTCCAGCTTCAGGCATCCGTTCGGCAACCTGCGCAGGCATCGGTCGAGGTCTGAAGCTTGTTGTTTGGGGCCATGTCCCGGAGTGTGAGAGGGTGTTCTTTCAATGACTCTAGGCCCCCCTCAAGATAGCAGAGCGCCCGGACTCAAAAGAAATGTGACAGGACCCGCCTACAAACTTGCAAGCGTATCTCTCAGACACAGACTAATAGCATGGCTTTATGTACGCCTTCTAGCGAGCTGGTGGAATATGGATAAGACGGCCTAATTGAAGAGGTAACGCTGCGGTATGGACCTTGCATATCAGAGCCCGTGCATATCGAGGTTTGAAACAGCTTCGTGAGTGTTCCTCCTCTCCTGATGAGGTCGAGACACTTGACATCTACCGAATCTTCGGAAAAGGTGAACCACAAGTGCTGTCCAACCGGGATACTGGCGATGTTCTTGGTGATGTCTCTTTCATCTGTGGCTTGGCTGCCAACGGCCAATGTGGCCGGTATTTCAAGTTCACATGTGTCTGCAGACAGCATCGATATCGTTGATCGGCGCAGGCATTGCAGCAGACGATCACGCAGGGGGTTCCGAACCTACAGTAGGGATGACAGCAGCCGTGTATATATTCTAGCCTTCTCATTTCTTGTTGCGCTAAAGCACATCCTGCACATGTCACCTCGGCTGCGTAATCAGTACCAGCCCCTAAACCCTAAACCATGAGTTTAATTACCGAATGGTGGAACTGTTATCTCCTGTAATTAGATGCGCAGGAGCTTTCCTTTACAACCCCGCCTGTGAGCATAGTTCTCTGCCATGCTGCGAGAGGGAAAAAACCGCCTAAACCCTAAACCCAGCATTCAGGCACTCAGGGCTCCGGCGCAGAGTACGAGTCCAAGTTCATCACTCACTGGAAGGTCAATGCACCTTGTCTACCCTTGGCTACGGAGACTTAGCCGCGCGTTGCTGGTATCTTGCCGCCGGTTATATCGTGCAACATGCCTAGATCCCTAGATAAAGGACGTCATCATGTCAGTTCCCATTACTGTTGTCCAACCACATGGGATGAGCCCCCCGCTTTCGACAAGTAGTGATCTCATTTTGTATGGCACACCATCGGTCATCAAACCACTGCTAGGGTTTCACGGACCATCTCCACTCGTTTCTTTATTTGGATTTGACCGGCATTGCTGGGGTCCCTGAGCTTGATCCCCAGCAAGCCGAAATTCCCCCCATATTTCATCGTCGGTCCGTCCTTGGTCGAAATCCCAGGATTTCTCTCTAAGGCGGTGCATGATGTCAGGCTGACTTCAAGTACTTGTATTCTCCAATCACGTGCACTCTGAAGTTGGGTCTTTGGGACCCTGAACGCAGAACGTCCTTCGGGCCATGAACCCTAAACCGTAAACCCTAAACCCTAAACCCATGGACCCTGCAATGCGGGCTCGTCGTTGCTAAGTAGGAGGCAAAAAAACCCATGGACCATGTGGCTCTGAGGTTAGCAAGGCTTTCGGCCAGCCGCATCCTTGGATCCAAAGCCTTTCTGCAGCGTCGCCATATGCAAAGAAGACCCCACGGAATCCCAGATGTTCAGAATGAAGTTCGAGGTACGCTCTGTGCAACTTCAATGGTATCGCCAACGTCTGCATAGGACAAGGCAGGAGCACCAGCGGCAGCTGTAGTCGTAGAAGCAGCAGCATCTAGTAATCGAGCGGCAGCAATAGAAGCAGTCATCGTGGTCGTCGTCGCAGTCATGGTTATGTGGTGGTGGTGGTGGTGGTGGTGGTGGTGGTGGTGGTGACAGCGGTAGTGACAGCGGTAGTGATAGTGGTAGTGGCACCGCTACTTGTCGTCGAAGTCGTCGTCGTAGCAGCAGGAGTAAGTAGCAGTAACAGAAGCAGTCGCAGTCGCAGTCGCAGTCTCGGTCGTGGTGGTGGTGGTGGTGGTGGTGGTGGTGGTAGTCGTGCTAGTAGGCGTTTACGCTTTTAGTTTTGCGACGAGAGCACGGCGTAGACTTTGACAGGAGCCTTCAGTTTACGTGCTATAGATATCATCCTGAGGACCGACCGGTTCCCCCCCCGGTCCAGTAATGCACCGATGCGACGAGCTGCGTGCAAGTGAAACGGCAGCCTGAGCTACAAAGCCTTACTGCCGAAGCTTTAAGACCACAAAGGCCACCGGCTGAGACCCTTCTTGTCAACAAAACACTTACTGTTTTAGAATTTTCTGAGAGATGGGAGTCTAAACCGCACTGCAAGCCTCCTTTGCCCCTAAACTTACCGTAAAAACCTCATCAAAATCCTGGGAATCCTCGAAACGCCAGCAACCCTGACCCTTCCGCCACTTTACCTTGGGAGGATCTCAGCTTAAGCGCGTCGGGCGAAGAGGCTCCCAAATTCAGGCCTGGATTCTGAGTATGAGTAGAACAGAAGTTTACGGGTTTGGGTCGGGGGTATGTAAGGTTGCATTCGAGACCTATGGCATCCTCTAGGTCATGGTGTTTTTCATGGCTTTCAGACAATGAATGCAAAGAGTCTCCAGCTTTTCTTTGTTGGTTTCAATTGTTGCACTTCAACATGCTTGACAACGCATGCCTTGGTCTTGCAAGAAGCCTACTCCTGAACCCCAGCCCGAATCCTGTCTGAGCCCGCGCTCAGGCCGTACAGTTTTGGATTTCTGTGGGGTGAAATTATGAGACATGTCTCACTTGAAAAGTGACGCCGGCCAAGCTCAGAAATTGTTTGGCACTTGAATTTCAATCTTGTCTTTTCTTCTCCGGTTGTGACTATGTTTATAAGATTCTTGCGTGGACACACTGGCATAGCCTAGATGAAGTAGTTTATCATAACAATATCATTCTG